TGCGTGTTCCCAGTCCGGCCCGGCCCGTACCTGCTCCCCGCATCAAGCCAGTGGTGCGTGTTCCCAGTCCGGTCCGGCCCGTTCCTGCTCCCCGCACCAAGCCAGTGGTGCGTATTCCCAGTCCGGCCCGGCCCGTTCATGCTCCTCGCACCAAGCCAGTGGTGCGCGTCTCCAGCCCGGTCCGGCCTGTTCCTGTCCCTCGCACCAAGCCAGTGGTGCGCATCTCCGGCCTGTTCCTGTCCCTCGCACCAAGCCAGTGGTGCGCGTCGCCAGCCTGGTCCGGCCTGTTCCTGCTCCTCGCATCAAGCCAGTGGTGCGTGTGTCCAGTCCGGCACGGCCCGTGCCTGTTCCACCGGTACCTGGTCCGGCATCGGTCAGCTGCTCCACTCCGGAGCTAGAGCAGTCCACTCCACCGGTGCCTGATCCAGCTCCGGTCAGCGGCTCCACGCTGGAGTCAGAGCAGTTCGCTCCACCGTCTTCGGGTCCAGCTCCAGTCAGCGGTTCCAGTCCAGACCCAGACGTCAGCCCCTCTCTAGGTTCGGGGTCTCCCACACCAGGCAGGTATGCTCCCACACCAGGGTCCAGACAGGGCTTGGTACTTCGTGGGAGGAAGGAGAGGGGAAGCAGCGCGCCGAGGTCCAGACCAGACCAGGGGCGGAGCCGGAGCCGCCTCCGAGGCGGAATGCCCACCCGGCCCCTACCCTGTTATGTTTAGGTTGCGCGGTCGGAGTCCGCACCTTTGGGGGGGGTTACTGTCACGCCCTGGCTCTGGGGACTCTTAAATGTTGAGCCAGGGTGTGTAGTTTCTATGTTGTGTTTTCTATGTTTAGTTTCTAGATCGTTTAGATCGATGTTGGCCAGGGTGGTTCCCAATCAGAGGCAGCTGTAGCTCGTTGTCTCTGATTGGGGAACATACTTAGGTAGCCTGTTGGCACTAGTGGGTTGTGGGATCTTGTTCCGTATAGGTTTGTTGTGTGCAACCTTAAGACTTCACGTATCGTTTGTTTGTTGTTTTGTCGTGTTTGCACAGTTATAATAAACATGTACGCTTATCACGCTGCGCCTTGGTTCGACCAGTCTTTAAACGATCGTGACAGTACATGTTTATTGCATTGTTGTGAGAATGAATTATGGAATGAATGCAATTTATTATACAGTGACAGTAGTTGTAAAGTTACATAAATAAATATACAAATATTTGTAACATAAATATTCTGTGTATCTGTTTGACTGGTATGTACCTTCAGTGTCTATATAAAGTTTTCACCCTCCTTGGATTTCTTCACATTTTATTGTTGTTGTTTTATTATTGTATTATTGTCTTACAAAGTGGGATTAAATGGATTTAATTGTCATTTTTTGTCAACGATTTACACAAAATACTCTGATGTCAAAGTGGAAGACAAATTCTAACATTCTTTAAAGATTAATGAAAAACTTTTTGTATCTTTTTATTCATCTTTTCACTGTGTCATTTAGGTCATTATTGTGGAGTCACTACAATGTTATTGATCCATCCTCAGTTTTCTCCCATCACAGCCATTGAACTCTGCAGCTGTTTTTAAATCACCAATGGCCTCACAGTGACATCCCTAAGCAGTTTCGTTCCTGTCCTGCAGCTTAGTTCAGAAGGAGGACTGCATATTTGATGTGTCTGGGTGGTTTAGCATCATCTAGAGCATAATTATTAACTTGACCATGCTTAAAGATATATTCCATGTCTGATGTGTTATTGTTACCCATCTACCAATCACTGCCCTTCTTAATGAGGCTTTCGAAAAGCTCCCTAGTCTTTGTAGTTGAATCTGTGAAATTCAATACTTGACTGAGGGACCTTACAGATGTTGTATGTATGGGGGACAGAGGAAGATGTAGTCATTCAAAAATCATGTCAACCCCTAATATTTCACAGTTAGTCCATATAACTTATGTGATTTGTTCAGCCAAATTTGACTTCTGAACAAATTTCAGCTTGCCTAAACAAAGAGGGTGAAAACTTATGCAACAACTATACTTTAGTTATTTAATTTGTATTAATTTGTAATAATAATAACTTTGTATTTATGTATTTTGTGTAGATCAATGACAAAAAAATCCAATTAAATCTATTTCAATTCCACTTTGTAAAGCAACAAAATGTGAAAAAAGGTTCAAGGGGGTGTAAACTTTCTAAAGGCACTGTCCTACCTACTCAATGTAGGCCTATAGTGGTAGGCAATAGTTTACTATGTGTTGTTACTTGCAGGTTGGGTTGGGGCAGGGCGGGAGACGCCTCTTCTTTCTGAGCATTCTTTCCAGCTATATAATAGTCTCACTCACATTCAATCTTTGCAGAATCTGGAAAACTACACAACATCCACATACTTTGCAGCTGAGTTCATCTTCAAAAGTCTTCTACTATCAGGTAAAAAAATAAATAATTATACAGAAGTTGTATAATCAGCAATTATCTTACAAATCGAATACAGATAGATTTGTAAAATAAAGAGAAAGTAAATAGGCTGCACTCATTTATATTAAATTATATCAGAGATAATCCTTGACTTTCTGTATAAGGGAAAAGTTATTTGTTTGTTTAGCAGCAGAATCTTTGGTATTAAAGAAACTTTGCTGCTGGTCTATTCTTTATCTTATCGCAGTTGCCTTGCAAACTCATCTGAGGTAGGCTAGATGTATTGGCTATTCTTTTGAATAGATGTCAATAGGTTAATTCCTACAACATGTGTACAATGTCCTAGGGAAATAAAAAAATAACTGCTTGTTCACATGAAACAACTGTTTGTTCACATAAATGTTTATACGCAAAAATAAAATGCTGGGTTAAAAACAACTCAGCGCTGAGTAAGTAGTGGACATAACACACGTTGCATTATTTTGACCCAGCCAGTTGGGTCACATTTTCTTAGATTCGAGCATGTTGTTTATCTTTCCATTAAATGTATATTCAAATATGTAATATGCAAAACTATTGAAAGAAAATTGAAATGTGTAGTGTACAAACTTAACTTGATGAACAGGAATTACATTTACTCTCTGAAAGAAAATCTATGGATTACATAAAAAAAGACCCAGGTGCTGGGTCAACCCAGCATGAATGTGAATAAAAATCCAACTGATGATTAAATTAACCCATGTTTGGGTAATCAGGTTATTTTCAGAAGACGTGGCCTATTAGGGGTGTGGTTCTCAGATAGTTATTTTTGGTCACCCGGCTATTGTTTACGACGTGTTGTTACTTGCAGGTTGGGTTGGGTGTGGTTTTTGGGAGGGCCTGTCACACAGATATCATATAAATTATACACTATATATACAAATGTATGTGGACACACCTTCAACGGCTCAGCCGCAAAGTAGTAGGCCACATAAACTCACAAAACGGGACCACAGAGTGCTGAAAAATCATCTGTCCTTGGTTGCAACACTCACTATTGAGTTCCAAATTGCCTCTGGAAACAACGTCAGCACAAGAACTGTTCATCGGGAGCTTCATGAAATGGGTTTCCATGGCCGAGCAGCCGCACACAAGTGTAAGATCACCATGCACAATGTCAAGCGTCGGCTGGAGTGGTGTAAAGCTCGCTGCCATTATACTCTGGAGCAGTGGAAAAGCGTTCTCTGGAGTGATGAATCACGCTTCACCATCTGGCAGTCCGATGGACAAATCTGGGTTTGGTGGATGCCAGGAGAATGCTACCTGCCCCAATGCATAGTGCCAACTGTAAAGTTTGGTGGAGGAGGAATAATGGTCTGGGGCTGTTTTCATTACTTGGGCTAGGCCCCTTAGTTCCAGTGAAGGGAAATCTTAATGCTACAGCATACAATGACATTCTAGACGATTCTGTTCTTCAAACTTTGTGGCAACAGTTTGGAGAAGGCCCTTTCCTGTTTCAGCATGACAATGCCCCCATGCACAAAGCGAGGTCCATACAGAACTGATTTTTCGAGATCGGTGTGGAAGATCTTGACTGGCCTGCACAGAGCCCTGACCTCAACCACATCAAACACCTTTGGGATGAATTGGAACGCCGACTGCGAGCCAGGCCTAATCGCCCAACATCAGTGCTTGACCTCACTAATGCTCTTGTGGCTGAATGGAAGCAAGTCCCCTCAGCAATTTTCCAACATCTAGTGAAAAGCCTTCCCAGAAGAGTGGAGGCTGTTTTAGCAGCAAAGGGGGGACCAACTTCATATTAATCCACATAATTTTGGAATGAGATGTTCGACGAGCAGGTGTCCACATACTTTGGTCATGTAGTGTATGTGTAATTTTGTGGTCTGTCATCCTACAGTTTTTTGTGTTTGTCCTCTGAGGTGGTTAAGTGTTGTGAATTAGCCCAGAATACATCCAGTAGAACCACATAGGAATTGAGCTGCTAGGGGAATACTGGGGGAGTAATTGGTTAGAGGACCACCTGGGCCACATGGGCATATGTTTACAGATTCCCGTCTTGGGGAAAATGTCCCTTCTTATTCCAATCCAATCTCATGAGACACTTCAATCAAAACACTGTAAATCAAAACACTGTATTTGCTCAGATAAATAAACATAAACATATAAATATCTTGATAACTAGAAATGTCTATTATCACATGTCTTTATATACATGAAATGACAAGATTGGTATGAAATAATGTCAGGTATGCGTGTATGGTGAAAATGAACTACAATACATTTTTAGGTGCTGAAATGTTGAGAAATGGATAAGTCATCCTAACAGTCAGTTTGAGAGAGAGAGAGAGAGAGAGAGAGAGAGAGAGAGAGAGAGAGAGAGAGAGAGAGAGAGAGAGAGAGAGAGAGAGAGAGAGTGAGAGAGAGAGAGAGAGAGAACACAAGAGAGAGAAATAGAGAGAGAAAGGGGAGGGATACCCTTCTAAGTTCTCCCATGAGTCAGTCAGGCTCATGTGACTCACTCGCTTCTTTGCACCACCACCACCCTAGATCAACATTGAGTAATGGTAAAGTATCAGGTTCCATGTAAGTCTGATTTTGATACAAAAACATGAGGTATGAGAGATATACTGTCTCTCAGTGATACAGAGGGGTTGTTTGACTAACAAAACATTCTAAAAGGTTTCACACACAACATTAAAAGCATGACATTTTGTTTTAATTATATAGATGACATCCATAGTAAAGAAAGACTAAAGAATGTTTCCAACAAAATGAAGTAGCCTATGATGAAGTAACCTATGTCACTGCCTCATATTTCTGGACAGCTGAAATAAAAACTTTGAACAAACATTCAAGGCCATTGTGAAGGCTACAACCTTCTCTGTCTGTTGTAAGGGATATTGCAGTTACACAAGCAGGATGCAGTCCTTACACATTGCATTGGAGTAAAAACAATCTTTGTTTTGTGTGAGGATGTAGACTTATCTTTGTAGTTGCTGCCATATCATAGTCACTAGCCAGAGTTGCTGAAAAATAACACTACTACTTTGACTGCCTGTCTCCTTCCTGCTTAGCCAATGTTTGCAATGATGATGAAAAAAAATAACATTAAATCGCTAATTAGACTGTGTGTCTGTGTCTTGCTTGTGTTTGACATGCTGCCTAGATAGCTGTTTGTAACACCCCACTTGAGTTTTGCATTGGGGCAAAAAACTATCTGCGAGCATGTACGAACATGTTGATCATGTCTTTTGTGGACAACATGTAAATAGCTGCATGTAGCCTAACTCCTCTCCTGAAAAATTAACATGAAATCATGCTTATAAGCCTACTGAGGCATGGAATGCAATAGTTTGAACATGTTGACCATCTCCTTTGTGTGTGCACATGTTGTGTGTAGGCTACATCAGACAAAGGTGTTCATTACATTTACATTACATTTTAGTCATTTTGCAGACGCTCTTATCCAGAGCAACTTACAGTTAGTGAATACATTATTTTTTTATACTGGCCCCCCGTGGGAATCGAACCCACAACCCTGGCGTTGCAAACACCATGCTCTATCAACTGAGCTAATCCCTGCCGGCCATTCCCTCCCCTACCCTGGACAAAGTGTGCGCCGCCCATGAGTCTCCCGGTCACGACAAAGCCTGGATTCGAACCAGGATCTCTAGTGGCACAGTTAGCACTGCGATGCAGTGCCTTAGACCACTGCGCCACTCAGGAGCAGACATTTTGGTCAGCGAATTCATCACAGATCAAAGCGGCAATGGAGCAATGAGAAGCAACTACATAGGCAGTGGAGTGGGCAGCAGCCCTAGAATTAGGAATAAAATACCAGAATGGGCATGAACCTTCTTATGATGGTCTAAAAGGTCTGCCATTTTGGTCAGGGAATTGGTCAACCATTGTTTCCTAGTGCTGTGATAAGATATTGTGTAAAATAATGAATTATCTGCACTGTATGTTTGTTAACAAGCTATCCAGACAGTTTAAGAGGAATGATTCCATTAATGTTTCAAATTAACTGCCAATATGCCAACATTCCATTCAAACAATGCAGTCAATCCATAGCCATACAATGGCTGAAATCAGTTGATGATCAGACTTAGACAAGTTGTAAAATCAACAAGTACTGATATTGTATCATACAATAGCACTCACAGTTTACCAAGAAAACAAATCATTTAGACATTTATGGTCTGTTTGCATACTTTTTTAGAGGCTATTTATACAGAACATTTGTACAAAACCCGCATAAACTGTATTTATAATTATATGACAATATTTTAGGTTGACAGTAATTCTATTACACAATTTCTGATATATCACACATCTAACTTTTATTTTCCTGCTTAAGTAAAATCTGGATTATGCCTCTAATGCCATATATTCATATTAGACTGGTTTGGATTTGTCGGTTTACAGAAAATCCGCAAACAGACAGTGAGATCTGCTGCCATAATATTGGGCCATTCAACACAACACACACCTGTCTTACGTAAACATACTGTTTAAAGTCAATAGTCATCTGATATGGCCTGCTCTTTAGTGAGACAATAATGACCTCTGTTTACCTGGAGAAAATATTACCTGGAGCTTTGACTAGTGTTGTGTAATAAGTGCCTCTAAGGATTCAGTCAAACATGAACTAACCTATTTGACATACAGTAATTATCCTCTTACACAACACTAAAGTAGTGGTGTATTATGAAACCTAGGACTTTGGTACATCTACACTCTAAAAAATGCTGGGTTAAAAACAACCCAGCGCTGGGTAAATAGTGGACAGAACACACGTAGGGTTATTTTGACCCAGCCAGTTGGGTCACTTAGTTGGGTGGTTTTCTTTGAAAACTGGAGGCGTAGCTTAGTACTGACTTGGCTTTCAGATAGTCATTTTTGGCCACCCGTGAGAGTAAATGTTGTTCCTGTTCATCATGTTAAGTTTGTGCACTGCAAATGTTTAATGTTCTTCAATATGTTTTGCACATTACATATGTGAATATCAATTTTCTAACATTATTATTTAAATATTATTACAAAGTGGTAACTCTCCCAACATTGGGATATGCATAGGCACTTGAGGAACTCACACTCTTGTATAAGCCTCATAAAAGCCACAAAAGTGTCAGTGCTCAACCTTATTAGTGATGACAATACAACGGAACATGAACCAGAATGATATGACCCGGTGGGTCATAGCTCAATAACCCAGCATCAATAACCCAACAACCCAACTAAGTGTTCTGTCCAATATTTACCCAAATTGGTTTGCTTTTAACCCAGCATTCTTTTGAGTGTACTACCTACAGGTTTCCATTATTAGCACCATATGTTAGCCTTTCCCACTACAGATGCTCTCCAAGGTCTCGTTAACTGGTGATGATGAGCCATACGTTTTCATCATATCTTTTTGACTTTACTGTGATTCTGAGATTTTTTGTGTTTGTCAGTGATAATGATAGTAATCTTGTGTATGACTCAACACCTTAACTCTCCACCACCTCCTCCTCCTTGTGCTCCTAATCACCCCTCCTCTTCCTCCTGCTCCTCCTCCTCCCTTCCAGAACCATGGTGTGCCATAAGGAGTTCCAGACTGCAGGAAAGGGGCCTGGTCTTCAGGTATGGCGTGTGGAGAAGATGGATCTGAAGCCGGTTCCTAAACAGCTCTATGGGAACTTCTTCACTGGAGACTGCTACGTTCTGCTCTACACCACCGCCGCCCCCTCATACTACATCCACATGTGGCTGGGTGAGCGATAGAGCTGGTTACCCCACTGATATAGCCTACCACCAGGGTCTCTCGGGCTGAGCCTTTAACCGCTATCCTATACATGCAGGACATGCCCATATAAATGATTAGCATTATCAAAAGATACATGCCAGTTCACCTGTCATATCTATTTCATAAATTGACTGAATGGTTCCTCCCTTGTATGTTTTGTATGCTCCAGGGTGAAGATTCCCCTAGGTACACATCTAGGTTCAGCAATCCTAACCTTAATCATTAGTAGGAAAAATGCTAAACTGACCCAAGAACACCGCCTAAGGGGGAACTTCACCCTACATTGTTCTGAATGTTCTATGGCCTTTCCCATTGGTCTTCTTCCTCAATTCCCCTAATCTCTGTCTCTATTGGCTGACACCACAGGAAGTGAGAGTTCTCAGGATGAGAATGGTGCGGCGGCCATCTTTAGCACCCAACTGGATGATTTCCTGGGCGGAGGCCCGGTCCAATTCAGAGAGGTCCAGAACAATGAGTCTCTCACCTTCCTGGGTTACTTCAAGTCTGGCATCAAGTACAAGGTGAGGTATTACTGAAAACTGTATCTCAGAGAAGCAGTTGGGCATATCAGTGTAGATCAGGTCGCCAACATAATAGAGGTGTTTAACTTCAAGGGTCTTTCATGGTTAAATAAAGATATAGTACTGTACATCATTTAAAAAATGACTGAAGGTCTTGCTATATCTCTCATGACAAACCCAGTATAGCCTCTGTTTTCCTTTCCAGCACTTAGAAGCTTACTCTGTTATTATACAGCCCACTACTATACTTATCTGTGGAGGTCAATGACATTGAAACCAAATGCATTGAAGTGAAGGTACAGAATGTGTGTGGGTGTTGCATTATTAGGTTAAGTATTGATAACCAACTATTGATAACCAAGTAGATTCCAATTTGAACTTGGTGACTAATGAGACTGAAGTTCAGACCTATTGATTACCAGGGTCCTACTAAAGGGTGGTCAAATGTGTAGTAATCAATATTCTAGTGAGGACCACCCCAACAGCAACACCCCCATTAAAGTGTTGAAATACTAATGAGTCACGACACATGTTGCCAAAAAGCTAACTGTGCTATTTAAAGGACTGTATCTTTAAGCTTTAGCTTCTACAGTGGTTAAAGTTTTCCATAGAAGGTTGCCATGGAGAGTTTGAAATGGAAGACACATCTGGGTCTTATTCCAGAAAGCCAAATGGCTGCATGTCTGGCAAGATTTTATATTGGCTTCTGGATTGGAAAGCAGAGGAAGGAAGCCTTGGAAGTAAATGTTTACTTACTACTCTGGACAAAGTTACTCACAATGAACTTTGAAGTTGGAGTTTGTAACATATGTAATGTACACTGAGTATACAAAACACAAGGAGAATTCCACCCCAAAACTACCTTTTGGTATTTGTTTCATTAGTTAATTGTTGACATAGTCCCAAATTGTTTTGCTTCTCAGCAATCAAGTTTTCAAGATATGCAACTTTCAAAACACAGAAATCATCCCTGTATGATGCATTTTGCATCATATGATTCAAAACGAAGCATCATTGATGCAAAATGGATCATACGGGGATGATTTCTGTATTTTGAAAGTTATACAGTGGCTTGCGAAAGTATTCACCTGGTACGTGAGTTTTGGTGGGCGGCCCTCTCTAGGCAGGTTTGTTGTGGTGCCATATTCTTTCAATTTTTTAAATAATGGATTTAATGGTGGGATGTTCAAAGTTTCTGATATTTTTTTATAACCCAACCCTGATCTGTAATTGGTTTCACCAGATCTTATTTAGGGGCTTCATAGCAAAGGGGGTGAATGCATTCGCACGCACCCCTTTTCAGTTATTTATTTTTTAGAATTTTTGAAACAAGTTATTTTTTCATTTCACTTCACCAATTTGGACTATTTTGTGTATGTCCATTAAATGAAATACAAATAAAAATCAATTGAAATTACAGGTTGTAATGCAACAAAATAGGAAAAACGCCAAGGGGGGTGAATACTTTTGCAAGGCACTGTATATCTTGAAAACGTGATCGCTGACAAGCAAAACATTTCCATGACATAGATAGACTGGCCAGGTGAATCCAGGTGAAAGCAATGATCTCTTATTGATGTAACTTGTGAAATCCACTCCAATCAGTGTAGATGAAGGGGAGGAGACAAGTTAAAGAAGGATTTTTAAGCCTTGAGACAATTGAGACATGGATTGTGTATGTGCGCCATTCATAGGGTGAATGGGCAAGACAAAAGATTTAAGTGCCTTTGAATGGGGTATGGTAGTAGGTGCCAGGGGCACCGGTTTGTGTCAAGAACTGTTACGCTGCTGGGTTTTTCACGCTCAACAGTTTCCCGTGTGTATCAAGAATGGTCCACCACCCAAAGGACATCCAGCCAACTTCACACAATTGTGGGAAGCATTGGAGTCAACATGTGCCAGCATCACTGTGGAACGCTTTCGACACCATGTAGAGTCCATGCCACGACTAATTGAGGCTGTTCTCAGTGTACAGTATATACAAACTTCTTAAAAACTGTGCATAAACTATGTATTATTGTTAGCTTCGTTAACCTGACACATTATTTCCATTCTCTGTCCCTCAGCAAGGTGGAGTGGCCTCTGGCTTCCAGCACGTGGTGACCAACGACATGAACGTCAAGCGTCTGCTGCACGTCAAGGGCCGCAGGGTCATCAGAGCCACGGAGGTGGACATGTCCTGGTCCAGCTTTAACAGTGGGGACTGCTTCATCATCGACCTGGGAAAAGTGAGCTGGGATAGGGTATCAGTGACTTAGCTCAACGATGAAATGAGAAGTTAAGGAGATAAGCCTCCTCAACCAGACCCACATGCATTGAACTTAGCTGATGCAACATAGGGGGATTGTCACATAGGCCGAAGAACAATGATCCCACACACACAATGTTTGCTTATGTGTAATGGGAGAGATGGGAGGGATGGGAGGGATGGCGGCTCCAAAGAAGGAGAGGGCAGTAAAATACCCCAGATGTTATTTTGTGGAGCATACATGAGCATGCATAAGTAGTTATATCCAGAGGCAAGACTCTTCTCCCTTACCCTAAGTCTGAGTCACGGCCATTAAGACAACTTTTGTTTCTATTCTCAGGATATCTTCCAGTGGTGTGGCAGTGAGAGCAACCGCTTTGAGCGTCTGAAGGCATCCGAGGTGGCCATCGATGTCCGTGACAACGAGAGGAATGGCCGTGCCAAGCTGCAAATTGTTGAGGAGGGAGGAGAGCCAGAGGCTATCATCGAAGTGAGACACTTGCATTTTTACATTTTAGTCATTTAACAGACTCTCTTATCCAGACAGACACACACACACACACACGATCGAGGAGGGAGGAGAGCCTCTGGCTGAATCCCAAATCACCCCCTTTCCCTTCCCCTTCCCCTTCCCCTCACCCCTTCCCCTTCCCCTCACCCCTCGACCCTCTGCGCGTTCATGCGCGCCTCCGCCATTTGCATAAGTGTCCCAAAGCTGAGGGAGTGAAGATGATCGAGGGTGTAGGGGCCAATTAGACCTTCAGATAGTCACTTCAACCGAGCCAGCAAGGCTGCAGGCTTCAGAGCGAAGTGCTATCCCGACACGCACTGCGATATGTTTGGAGTCTGCGCAATTTCATAAAATAATGGAGAGTCATTCTTAATTATATGTCGTGTGCATTTGTTAATGTCTGATTTCGAGACCTGATACATGTAACAGATGAAATACCTCCCAAATTAAATGTTTAACTGTTACTGAGGTTTATATCTTGTAAAACAACAGGGGGGATTCGTTAATTTGAATTTCATGCTTGTTTTATTGTTTAAAAGTGGAACATGAATTGCATCATTCAAGTAAGGAGTGTGTCCCGAAGGTGATGGGTTTATTGAACCCATCACCACTCTCTGGAGGTCACACTATGAGTTTCGTCAGCAACACGTGACGACGGAGGGCCCTCCGAGCGAGTTGGTTGGAGCGAGGGGATGGTTTGGGATTCACAGACAGGATGTCATCGATGTGAGTCACCTTCACCAGCACTTCCTGTCCCTGTAAAACAAGAAGGGAATATGGGAGTGGGGGTTACTGGCATCTGGCATTATTATGCCCTTTTAGCACACTAAGACATTGCAGTGTGACCTTGAATCATTTTAGCTGTCCTCTATTTTGTCTCATCTAATGCATTTAAAGGGTAAGGGGTTGTTCCTGGTCTTGCACGGTGGTCACAAACTCTATACAACGGTTTTTATGCAATTGTGGAACCTTAGATGAGTGCAATGGGACATCTTAGGCAGAGCTGATAAACTTGGCTATAACTTATATCTCCTTATTCACGGTATTAACAATTGATGTGTTTGTGTTTATGTTTAGGCTCTGGGGCCCAAACCCAACATCCCTGCAGGAAGCCCTGATGACGAGACTGTTGATAGATCCAACAAGAAGGGAGCTCTCTACATGGTAAAGACTTGCAGCCCTGTGCTGCTCCCAGTCTGTCGTGTGTGCATGTTTTGTGGTGGCGCTGTGTACTGTGACAACACAATGGTCCATTTCAGTTGTCTCTGTAAAATGTGGATGAATAAAGATGTATTGTATTGGGTTGTAGATCTCTGATGCGGCAGGCTCCATGAAGGTGTCAGTGGTGGCCCAGACCAACCCCTTCAAACAAGAGATGCTCTCCCCCAGCGAGTGTTATATTCTGGACAATGGAGGAGACAGCAAGATCTTTGTTTGGAAAGGACCTAGTGCCACCACAGCTGAGCGCAAGTCTGCCATGAATGCTGCAGAACAGTTCATCAAGGAGAAGAATTACCCCAAGCACACCCAGGTAACGTTACAGCAAACATGTCTTCATACTGCTGCCGTGCATACGTATGGCAAAGTTATGCACCATGACAGCAACCTTTCTACCCTACTGCTGCTGAATTGTGCAAAAGTCATACACTACAACAACAACCTTTCCACATCCCATCACCACCCACTCAGCTCTGTGTATTGACCAAGTCCTTTGGATCGACTGCTATCATGTACCTGTACAGATATGTGGGTTAAATGATTTAAGTCCTTTGGTGTCTTCTTCTGTCCTGTACAGGTCCAGGTGTTGCCATGTGGAGGAGAGACTACCCTGTTTAAGCAGTTCTTCTGTAACTGGAAGGACAAGGACCAGACCACGGGCCCAGGCCAGGCCTACAGTGTGGGACGTATTGCCAGGGTGGCGCAGGTCCCCTTCGACTCCTCCGCCCTACACACCAACAAGACCATGGCAGCCCAGCACGGCATGGTGGATGACGGATCCGGGAAGGTTCAGGTACTGCGGAAAGAATCTAGTGATGAGATACAGTATGATGATCTAATTCTACTACTCCTGGTGGTGTGAGAATAGTTTTCTTGTTTTGTTTAAAGGAGTGAACAGACTATCTCAAATTGTCTTTCCACAAATCCTTTCATCCTATCTCCTCTCCTACTTCTGAACCGTATTGGAGGAGAACAGCCAAGGTCCATTCCCCTCAGACCTTCTTCTCCAATGAGCCATATAGAGAATAACAGACCGAGGGAGAATGTGTTACAAGGAAGTAGGCAAACTTGTGCATGTGTGCTGGAGGCTGCGGTCCTAACCACTAGATCACCCAGCCCATGTGTGCTGGAGGCTGCGGTCCTAACCACTAGATCACCCAGCCCATGTGTGCTGGAGGCTGCGGTCCTAACCACTAGATCACCCAGCCCATGTGTGCTGGAGGCTGCGGTCCTAACCACTAGATCACCCAGCCCATGTGGGACTTGTTTTTCATGTACCACACACTGAGAGTTACACCTTGGTAACTAAAGGTGATGCTTTTCCTCCTCAGGTGTGGCGTGTGGAGGGTGGTGACCAGGTGCCAGTTGACCCTTCCAGCTATGGCCAGTTCTATGGAGGTGACTGCTACCTGGTCCTGTACAGCTACCGCCTGGGAAGCAGGGAGCAGCATATCATCTACACCTGGTGAGTGTTGTTCACCTTGTCGCCACAAGAGACAGCCATCATCAGACTGGAGCTATACACTGAGTATACCAAACATGGAGAACACCTTCCTAATACTGAGTTGAGCCCTTTTGCCCTCAGAACAGCCTCAATTCGTCGGGGCATGGACTCTACAAGGTGTCAAAAGCGTTCCACAGGGATGCTGGCCCATGTTGACTCCAATGCTTCCCTAAGTTGTGTCAAGTTGGCTGGATGTCCTTTGGGTGGTGGACCATTCTTGATGCACAGGGGAAACTGTTGAGCGTGAAAAACCCAGCAGCATTGCAGTTCTTGACACAAACCGGTGCACCTGGCACCTACTACCATACCCAGTTCAAAGGCACTTAAATCTTAAATCAATGGCACATATACACAATCCATGTCTTCTTTAACCTGTCTCCTCCCCTTCATCTACACTGATTAAAGTGACATCAATAAGGGATCATAGCTTTCACCTGGTCAGTTATGTAATGGAAAGAGCAGGTGTTCTTAATGTTTTGTATACTCAGTGTAACTCTACAGGAGCACATTAAGTCTATGTTATCCCATACCCATAACAGTGATTGATTGATTTATATATTGATTGATTGATGTCTTCAGGCAGGGGCAGAAGTGTACTCAGGATGAGCTGGCTGCTTCTGCCTTCCTGACGGTCAGGCTGGACGACTCCATGGGAGGCTCACCTGTCCAGGTAACACTTACTGTACAAAGACAATCCAACAACAATTGTACCCTATTCAGATAAATCTGATTTAAACACAACTCACATGTCTTTCAAACACTCAGAGAAGTGTCCTCTTGTCTTTGTTTTTTGGAAGTGTGATTTATTTATTTAACCTTAGCCAGGTAAGTCATTGAGAACAAAATCTATTTTACAATAACAACCTGGCTGTGAAAGCCTGTGCTATAATGGATGTGTTGAAGTGTCTCCTCTTCTCCTCTCTCCTCCAGGTGCGTGTGACTCAGGGCAAGGAGCCGGCCCACCTGATGAGTCTGTTCAAGGGGAAACCCATGGTGATCCACCTGGGCGGAACATCCCGTAAGGGGGGCCAGAGCAAGATGGGCTCCACACGCCTATTCCACATCCGCCAGAGCTCCACCAAGGCTACACGGGCTGTAGAGGTCAGTCAGTCACACAACATACACATATACACATACAGTGCACACCCACTGTATGCCTACGTAGGTTTAAGTGATCACACAACATACACAAAGTACAGTACTAACCACTGTTTTAATGACTGATCATGATCACATAAATGAGGGCAGAAGTTGTGAATTTACATAAGGAATACAAGATCTACAGTATCTCAGGAGTAATGTAGGATATAAGTACCACATCACCTCCCCCCCCTTCTCCAATCCTCTCCTCAGGTGGAGCCCTCTGCTGCGTTCCTGAACACCAATGATGTGTTTGTGCTGAAGTCCCCTGACACTGTGTTCCTGTGGAGGGGAGTGGGGGCCTCTGAGGAGGAGCTGGCTGCAGCCCAGTACGTCACCTCTTTCCTGGGAGGAGGACGTGCCACTGAGGTGTCAGAGGGCAAGGAGCCTGGTGGGTGTTGTAGTTTTACACCTGGTGACTGTCATAACATAACGTGATGATAGGATTTTCTCTTTTAAATACTTTTATTGTAGCACTTTTATTAGCAGATATTACATTTGAACAATCATTACAAAATGATGTACTATAATTTATTATTGTGTTTTTCTAATGTTTCTTCATTTGCATTGAATGAAACTTTTCTCCATACTGGTATGATGAGTGTTTTTGATGTACCATATTGTATTGTTCTGCTCTCTTCCCCAGCTGGGTTCTGGTCTGCTCTGGGAGGGAAGAAGGAGTACCAGACCTCCAAGAATCTGCAGAAGATGGTCAAGCCACCACGCCTGTTTGGCTGCTCTAACAAGACTGGCAGGCTCATAGTGAGTAGAGGAAGGCTTTCTCTTAGTGAAGGGATGGAGGAATGGACTATTTGGTTGTGAAGGTTGGAGCCATCGAAGGATACTTTGTATTGACCTCTCTCTCTCTCTCTCAGGCTGAAGAGGTGCCTGGAGATTTCAACCAGTCAGATTTGGCAACCGATGATGTCATGATTCTGGACACTTGGGATCAGGTAAGGTCTTGGCATGATGTGAAAGACCATTATAAAACCATTATACAGTATTATCCACATGATCCCAGTGGCTCTGATACAACTGAAGTCCTGCCATGAGTTTTTAGAGGTAGTGGTCCAATCCTCCAATCCCTCTTCACATCCTGCTTTTATTGTTTCCTGTATAATCTTTTGAGGGTGTAGGATTGATCCCATAGAAATAAAATGACATACTTCCTGATGTATATAAACCCTGGATTGCTGGTGCTATGTATTGGCCAATGAGAGGTTTTGAAGCCACCGGTCAGCCATATTGGCACTCTGCAGAAAATTCATCCATAGGAATGAATGGAATTCTACAGTATTTCAATTCAATATTTAAAGGACAAAATTACATGTATTTAAGTATGTTTTTGTTGTAGTGGGAACAGTAACATAAGATAAAAATACATATAAAATATTTACTTTAAGGACTTTAATAAATATATAGATATTAGTTCACATAATATAATTTAAAAGTATGCATTAATGTGTCTGTAATAGAATAAACGTGGCAAAAACTAATGTAAACATGAATAAATGCATTTCTATAGCTTAAGAAAAGGTATTTACAATGATGGGGGAATGCCAAGATGGAGGAGCGGTTGCTTCAAAACAGCACCCCCTGTCTGTCATCAAGTGAAAATCATTGTTCCTGGCATTGGCACAGTACAATTAATATGGCCGCCGGTCCACGCATCACGGAGCATTGACTTGAATGGGAATGTCTGTCTAGTTATTCTATTTCTATTGATGATCCACTCTCTTCTTTTATTATTTTAATAGATCTTCCTCTGGATAGGCAACGAGGCCAATGAAGTGGAGCGTACCGGATCATCAAAAATTGGTATGATTGATTAATAATCTGGATTTATTGGCCATTGTTCATACATACAAGTGTCAATCTATGTGACTTAATGTAGAGCTTTCTTCCTGTCTTTCAGCCAAAGACTATGTGGATTCGGACCCCTCTGGTCGCCGGGGCATTGCCATCACCACGATCAAGCAGGGAATGGAACCGCCAACCTTCACTGGCTGGTTCCAGGCCTGGGACCCCAAGATGTGGGAAACAGACCCCCTGGAGCGTATCCGTGCCCGCTTTTAAACTCTGTCACTTGCAAATGTTTGACATAACAATGAGTGACAAGGAGTATTATGTCTTTATTTTACTATTATCATGTATAACCGTGTGGCTTCTCAATAAAACAAGTGCCAATGCTCAAACGCAATAATTAAAAGGGGATAACTAAATATGGTAGCTACACGTATTTATCTCAAGCGTAAATGTGGCCTTAAAGGGGCAATCAGCAGTTGCTACATACATTTTTGGACTTATAAATTAATGATATGTACCCATTGATTCTTGAAGAATATATCTTCTAAATACCTCATGAGCTTATTTCAAGTGTCATACCCCATCAGAACCCCAAATATAAGCTTGTTTTACTCCAATGTTTGTAAACAATATAGCCTCAAAACATTGTTTAAAATTATAATTTTGATATCATGGATGGTCAATCCTTTCGTCCATAGCTCTGTCTACGAATTTGAGAGTGATTCATTTCTTCCACACCATACCTACTGTGAAGCATGGGGGTGGAAACATCATGCTTTGGGGCTGTTTTTCTGCAAAGGACCAGGACGACTGATCCGTGTAAAGGAAAGAATGAATGGGGCCATGTATCGTGAGATTTTGAGTGAAAACCTCCTTCCATCAGCAAGGGCATTGAAGATTAAACGTGGCTGGGTCTTTCAGCATGACAATGATCCCAAACACACCGCCCGGGCAACGAAGGAGTGGCTTCGTAAGAAGCATTTCAAGGTCCTGGAGTGGCCTAGCCAGTCTCCAGATCTCAACCCCATAGAAAATCTTTGGAGGGAGTTGAAAGTCTGTGTTGCCCAGCGACAGCCCCAAAACATCACTGCTCTAGAGGAGATCTGCATGGAGGAATGGGCCAAAATACCAGCAACAGTGTGTGAAAACCTTGTGAAGACTTACAGAAAACGTTTGACCTGTGTCATTGCCAACAAAGGGTATATAACAAAGTATTGAGAAACTTTTGTTATTGACCAAATACTTATTTTCCACCATAATTTGCAAATAAATTCATAAAAAATCCTACAATGTGATTTTCTGGAAAAATAAATCTAATTTTGTCTGTCATAGTTGATGAAAATTACAGGCCTCTCTCATCTTTTTAAGTGGGAGAACTTGTACAATTGGTGGCTGACTAAATACTTTTTTCCCCCACTGTATGGCACTATTTACATGTGTGTGTGTCCATGTATGTGCACATGTGTGCAATTGAATGAGAGTGTGTGTATATGCATGTGTACAAACACCTGCACGGCATCAGCCTCAGGCAAACAGGCATTAGCTGTAACAACACTGCCCCTCAGTGTCATTCAAACTGACTTTTTTAGTATGTTTTATTTTGACTTTCTTTTTTTACATTTTATCTTTGACTGCCCAGCAACTCTACTCCCACTTGTCTCCAATTCCACATCCCAACCCTCAGCCCATCCCACCTATCTCTGCTGACCACCCTCTTCGTATTTCCACGACCCATGTTTAACATACAATTTCAATCTATCTAATCGAATAGAATCCACAGATTGCGAGTTGAAGATAAATACTTTTACTAAGAGTATTAGTATATTAGTAATCTCCAGATCTCCCAACAGTACTATTTCTAGGGTCAATTTTAGATCAATGTTACAGTGGCTTGCGAAAGTATTCACCCCCTGGCATTTTTCCTATTTTGTTGCCTTACAACCTGGAATTAAAATAGATTTGTTGGGGGTTTGTATCATTTGATTTACACAACATGCCTACCACTTTGAAGATTCAAAATATATTTTATTGTGAAACAAACAAGAAATAAGACAAAAAAACTATTCACCCCCCCAAATGCAATACTTTGTAGAGCCACCTTTTGCAGCAATTACAGCTGCAAGTGTCTTGGGCTATGTCTCTATAAGCTTGGCACATCTAGCCACTAGGATTTCTGCCCATTCTTCAAGGCAAAACTGCTCCAGCTTCTTCAAGTTGGATGGGTTCCGCTGGTGTACAGCAATCTTTAAGTCATACCACAGATTCTCAATTTGATTGAGGTCTGGGCTTTGACTAGGCCATTCCAAGACATTTAAATGTTTCCCCTTAAACCACTCAAGTGTTGCTTTAGCAGTATGCTTAGGGTCATTGTCCTGCTGGAAGGTGAACCTCCATCCCAGTCTCAAATCTCTGGAAGACTGAAACAGGTTTCCCTCAAGAATTTCCCTGTATTTAGCGCCATCCATCATTCCTTAAATTCTGACCAGTTTCCCTGTCCCTGCCAATGAAAAACATCCCCACAGCATGATGCTGCCACCACCATGCTTCACTGTGGGGATGGTGTTCTCGGGGTGATGAGAGGTGTTGGGTTTGCGCCAGACATAGTGTTTTCCTTGATGGCCAAAAAGCTAAATTTTAGTCTCATCTGAACAGAGTACCTTCTTCCATATGTTTGGGGAGTCTCCCACATGCCTTTTGGTGAACACCAAACGTGTTTGCTTATTATTTTCTTTAAGCAATGGCTTTTTTCTGGCCACTCTTCCGTAAAGCCTAGCTCTGTGGTCCTATGGACAGATACTCAAATCTCCGCTGTGGAGCTTTGCAGCTCCTTCAGGGTTATCTTTGGTCTCTTTGTTGCCTCTCTGATTAATGCCTTCCTTGCCTGGTCTGTGAGTTTTGGTGGGCGGCCCTCTCTTGGCAGGTTTGTTCTGGTGCCATATTCTTTCCATTTTTTAATAATGGATTTAATGGTGCTCCGTGAGATGTTCAAAGTTTTGGATATTTTCTTATAACCCAACCCTGATCTGTACTTACATTTACATTTACATTACATTTTAGTCATTTAGCAGACGCTCTTATCCAGAGCGACTTACAGTTAGTGCATACATTATTTTTATTTTTCATACCCCCCGTGGGAATCAAACCCACAACCCTGGCATTGCAAATGGCATGCTCTACCAACTGAGCTACATCCCTGCCGGCCATTCCCTCCCCTACCCTGGACGACGCAGAGCCAATTGTGCGCCGCCACATGGGTCTCCCGGTCGCGGCCGGCTACGACAGAGCTTGGATTCGAACCAGGATCTCTAGTGGCACTGCGTCACTCGGGAGGCCATACTTCTTCACAACTTTGTCCCTGACCTGTTTGGAGAGCTCCTTGGTCTTCATTGTGCCGCTTGCTTGGTGGTGCCGCTTGCTTGGTGGTCCCCCTTGCTTAGTGGTGTTTCAGACTCTGGGGCCTTTCAGAACAGGTGTATATATACTGAGATCATGTGACAGATCATGTGACACTTAGATTGCACACAGGTGGACTTTATTTAACTAATTATGTGACTTCTGAAGGTAATTGGTTGCACCAGATCTTATTTAGGGGCTTCATAGCAAAGGGGGTGAATATATATGCACGCATCACTTTTCTGTTATTACTTTTTTTGAATCTTTTGAAACAAGTTATTTTTTTCATTTCACTTCACCAATTTGGACTATTTTGTGTATGTCCATATCATGAAATGCAAATAAAAATCCATTTAAATTACAGGTTGTAATGTAACAAAATAGGAAAAACGCCAAGGAGGATGAATACTTTTGCAAGGCACTGTATGTATTTTCAGCCATTCCTGAACCTGAGACCAGAAACAGTCTACCTGAGGGCAATACCAAAATAAATGGTCTATTGATTCTGTACCCTCACAACAAAATCTGCAGAGCTTCGATGATTGTATGCCCCAAATATTCAACATTCTGTTGGTGGCAAGAATTCTATATAATCCTTTTAGCTGAAAAGTATGAAGTCTTGAATCTTGCGTCGTATTATATATCAACTCATACACCCTGTACCATGGAATCGGTACATCAAAAATCTCTTCCCAGCTATTTTGCAATCTGTATGGCACAGCTGTCAACATCCTGGTCCTCAAATTAAACTGGTATACTTTCCTATTTATGCTATTTTTATTCCTTCACCAGTTTGGATTCTTTATATTGGGCAGACAGACCAGTTCCCTACCTCCTCCCGCTGCCACCTGCCTCCTCCATTTTTGGGGTAATGTTGTAATCAATTGGTTGTAATCTTAGATTGAGCAGACCTTCCCATACAATTCTGATAACTCCATGAAAGACATAACTCTACCATTCAAATTTACAATATCATTTAAAAACAAAATAAATGTTTCAAACATCTTTCCCATAAATACAGGTATTTTATCAACCAGCACATTTGAGTTCAGCCATAATATTTGTTGTAATATAGCCTAATTATATTAACAATGTGCAGTTGGTGCTGACCTGAGGATGCTTCACAAACCAGGGATGGGACATAAGCATTGTGTGGAATTGGAGCAAGTCACCTTAACCAAACGGTAACACTTTACTTGACACCCAGCGGCATAACACGTTATGACACGGTCATAACCATGTCATAATATGTCATAACAGCTGACATAACTTGTCATAACCTGTTATAATATGGTCATAACACTGTCATGACCACTACTTTGTATCCTTTTCTCTCTCGCTCTCCTCCAACACTACTCACTCAGCCCCTACTCAGATGGTAATGTGCCATCGCAACCTTCGCACTCTCTCTCCCGCTACTCTCTCCTCTTCCATCCTATTATCTCTTCCCTCTGCTAAATCCTTCTCCCTCCGATCTCCTGATTCTGCCTTCTCAACCCTCCTCTCCTCCCTTTCTGCATCTTCTAACTCTCTATGTCCCCTATCCTCCCGGCCGGCTCGGTCCTCCCCTCCTGCTCTGTGGCTTGACGACTCATTGCGAGCTCACAGAAGAGGGCTCCGGGCTCCAGACTTCGTCAACCATTTTGAAAAGAAGGTTGACGACATCCGATCCTCATTTATTAAGTCAAATGACACCGCTGGTCCTGCTCACATTGCCCTACCCTATGCTTGGACTTCTTTCTCCCCTCTCTCTCCAGATGAAATCTTGCGACTTGTGACGGCCGGCCGCCCAACAACCTGCCCGCTTGACCCTATCCCCTCCTCTCTTCTCCAGACCATTTCCGGAGACCTTCTCCCTTACCTCACCTCGCTCATCA